GGGGGGGGGGGGGACTTACCAGGGATGATTCCACTGCTCTTGGTCAAAGAGTCCTCTGTTTGAGACGGACGAGTGGCAGCTGGAGTTGTAACTTAATGAGCAAAAACAGACAATACTTCAGAATGATGCAAATGTAAAAAACAAGTGTGTGAGTGTGTGTGTGAGAGAGAGAGATACATTTCCCTGCAAACTGATCCATGAATGAGGCTGTATGGAATTTAAATTAAAAAATGTCTGAGTCTAAAAGGTGATGAACCCAGCATTTGAATGGCTCATTATTAATATGCAGCGTAAACAAGGTCATCGAAACACCTCACCATACATTAAATATGTGGATTTGGATGCAGCACCTCTATTCCAAACCAGCTTTTGCAAGCTCATGATGTGCAGTGTTTGTTGAGAGATGTTGATTCAAATCTGTGGTTATTCTTGAATAATAAGAATTCTGTACAGGGCTGCAGGGCACTACAGCCACTTCTGTGTAGACAAGCATGAACCTGTTTGTCGTTATCCTCTGAACATTTGCAGCAAAAATCAATAAGTAAATTCTCTTTTTGTATCAATCTCCTCTTTTAATTTAGTATGTTTGGTTATAATATTTCTACATGCATTTAAATCTTTCATATACCATTTCTTCACTTACAGTTGTTTAGTCTGTGAGCACTGACCAGGAACTACAGTATTCGTGTATTTACATGCAGTATGTTTTCATGATTCTCCTCTTGCCACATTGAATAATTTGAATTTTTGTCAGTACTTCTTTGAAACTTTGCTATTTGAAGTGTGTTGCTCTGAAATAACAGTGGTATTGATTGGCAGTCATCTAAAGCTGGCATAAACAGAATTTACCTGAAGTGGACTCCCATGTTTACCTGGCAATGTAATCTGATTTAGGTATTGTAGCCCTTTTTATGTAGTATTAAGTAAGTATCAACTAACTAAAAAAGACTAAAGGTGTAACACTCACCATTTCTCTGTTGAACTGTGTGTAAAAGCTGCCATGTAGGAATATCTGGGTCAACCATCTGAAAATGCAGCAGAAACACTGGTGTTAGAAATGTAGAGCACAGGGCACTGACAGTGGCAGGACACACTGCAGCTCGGACACTTGTGTCCTGTGCAGGTTGAAAATCAGCCCTGCTGCCTGCAGCAGAAGTGGGAAACTTTCTGCAGGAAGTTCAACAATGTGGAAAATCAGAGCGCTTCGGGCGACCAGGCGCAAAGATAAGGAAAACATGCAGGATAAGAAAATATCCACATATTTCCAAAACTTTTGCGTCGAGACAACATTTGTTCCTGCGACAGGGTGAAAACAGCTTCCAGTCCAAGTTGTAACCTCAATGAAACACGACTCATTGGAGGCTTGTAAACAAGTAAATCAGTTATAGGTTTTAACCGTCACAGAGTAGCACTACATACCGAGAGAGAGAGAGGCTCACTCTTGGATCAACAGACTTGTTTACTGTACAGCGCTGCACTTCAGGAAAGTCTGTTTTTCCTTTCTGGCCTCTCACCTTCGAGCTGTTCCCGTAGCTGATGACAGTCCTGCTCTTGTTTTTCCCCTCCGTCCACATCGGTGAGACCGTGCGCTCAGACTTCATCAGTTCACGCTGTTCTCTGAGACGCGCCTCTCCTGCTGCATTCAAGTGTCTCTTATAAAGTCGTTTTTTTCTCTTACAACAGACAAAAAACCTCTGGGCCGTATTTCGATTTACAGGGTAGTAAATAGTTGTTTTAAGTTAAATTATAGATTTGTTTTTAATAATAGACCCATTTATGCAACCCATGTGTAGCTATTCCAAAGGTCAACACTATTTTATTATTATTTATTTATTTTATTATTATTTATTTTACAATGAATGCTTTCATTAACACACGGGCTAACATGAAATTATTAATTGTTAAAATTACCTCCTTGCTAACACCTCGTTTGTAATCATTTGCTGCGAGATTTCCTACAACACCTGAAGGGTGCATCAGCTTCTCTGCTGACCTTCCTGTAAAAGGGCAGATAGGAGAGGCCACACAGCTCTGTTTGCTGATTACAACCAAAGATACTACTGTTGATTCCAAACAACGCAGAGGTCACATCTACCTTTACACTGTTTCACAGGATTTCCTGCAACACCTTACTGCCACCTTAGAATTCAGTTTCCTACTTCAAACCTTGAAAATACCACTAGCACACCAGATGCCACTTGTTTTCGTTTATCTAAGCAAGATTACACGTTCTGTAAACAATCAGTGTTTGAACAAATCAAAAACAAAATGTGAATACAGACAGAAAAGAGCAGTTTATTATCTGAAGTCTTTGTTTTAAGTTTGCAAACCACACCTGGATCAAAACATTTAATGCAGACTGTTTAGCACACTGGTCAGTAAGACAAGACCTGCAAATTGCTTCAGGTTGACTCCATAGATTTGACAGATTTTCCAATTCAGCACATTAATTGTAAAGTTTGAAAAGAAGAAATTATTAAACAAATATGTCAGAAACAATCCTGGACACGCTTCACATGGGAATTAGTCATAAGAATAGCATATACAAAGGTCAATTTACTGTCCTTTATGAGAAATAGTTTAGTTTCTTCTCTCTACTTCAGAGAGATACACACCAACAGTCTGCAGAGATATTGCACAATAGTTTACACTGTAAAAGCAGAAAGAGCAATTCAGATCACACACACACACACAATAGTCCTCATACACAGGCACTCAACATCAATGCAGCCTGCAGATGTTGTATATCAGCAAATCATACATACATACATACATACATACAGCAGAAAGTGAGCAGAGAAACATCTAAAACACACAACCAAAGGCATGTCTATATCATAAACTGATCAGCAGTTCCTGAAGAAAGAAATTTCTACCCACTCGGACCTAAATACAAAGCAAACGGTGCTGACAGTAAAAAAAAAAAAAAAAGGTCAGCTGTGGAGTGTCTTAAAGTAAGACTAGGATGTGTAATCATTCAATTAATATCGCTCAACATATCTCTGTTCTATTTTTCAAAGTTACACCCATTTCAGGAGAAACTTGAGGCCAAAGAGTGCAACAGCACCTGAGGTTTCCCAGAATCACCTGTCACAATAAATGATGGTAAAATGTCAGTGATCCCAGGTTTGAGAGGTACACATGAGCCCTGGACTGCAGATGTCTGAGTCGGCTTTTGAACTTTCTTAAGCGCCGTGTGTTGGCTTTAAGAGTGAAAAGCATGGCTACAGTGCACAAAGTGTACACAAAAGAGAATAGCTTTCAAGTCCTGTCCTTCTCATGAGACAGCATAATGTTTAAACAGGACAATGGGGGGGGGGGTTAAACATGTTAGCCACTCTGCAATAAGGCTGCGTCTATGAAGAAACATCTTTCTACATTTTACATCTATTCTCATCAGCTTTAAAGACGCATCATCACTCAATAACACACTCACCCAAAGCGGGAATGTTTAAGATTACATTTAACATTATGAGTAAAGCGAAGAAAGTTGTGTAACCTAATCCAGTCTAGCAAAGATGTTTCAAAATGACCATAAAATTCAGTGAGATTTTGATATCACATGTTTAAGCAGCTACTTGCTGTCATTAGAGTTTTTAGATTGGCCTCAATGTTGCGGCTCCATGGACAAATAAAGTAAATAAACAGGTCCACCTGGTGGGCAACAAAGGTTATGCCTGCAAGAAAAACAGAAGAAATGAACCAAAACGGTGACGTAATTCTATGAATTTACAAGATAAGACTGCGAGATTGTCAGAGTTGCCTTGAAGAAGAAGCCCAACCGTGGTTAATACTCTTTGAAATCAAACTGTTAAGATTTGATTGAATCTGAATAACATTAAATGGTTTGAAGACGTTTTCAACAATACATCACTAAAACACGTCACACTATTATGTCCTTAGCTGGTATTGAAACAGATGTTCACCCTTTGAAAAGGTTAAAAATAATTCAAATGTTACTGCTTCCCCTGACCAAACCCCATCACTCCTTCAGCCCCCATCAGCCACGATCCGGAGAGGTCACACTTCCACTGGCCACCCCCTTACATCCTTTCTCGCTCTTATCCTGGCGCCTCAAACCCGGATGAGACAGCGTCGGTTCTGTCCTCTGTGTTGAGAGCTTGTGGCATGTGCATGATGGGAGTTGTAGGAAAAGCAGAAAGGCAGAGAGAGGCGTGTCCAAGAGGACGAGGCAGCGACATCACATGATTTCACAGCATGAATTCTGTTTCCGTGCCTGCAGGTTTAACATAAACACACACAAACACAAACACACACACACAGTCAGGCATCTAAAACAGTGAATGGCTATTAGACTTTAAGCACAGTGTTATTATGGCGAGTCATCAGTACTCACAGTCTTGTAGAAGGCTTTGGATTGGTTTCCCAAGTGCTCTGACTTTGCCACAAGATCATCCAGTTTCTCTCCTCTCTCCAACAGACTTTCCATCGTGTTGTGCTACAGAAACAAAACATTTATTAAATAGTGTGTAGTAGAGCTTTTGCTGCATCCATCTCCACCCTTCTGGTGGGCACAAATTAAATCTTGGGACTTGCAGCCAACTCCCACCCGCAGCAAAGTCAGTACTGCCGCTCCCACAGTATTTGCGTTGGGATCCCAATGCAGTCCTCTAGTGTGCAGAGGACTTTTACTGGGATTGACCCTGGTAGATTTTGGTAGAAATACTGTGTAATGTTTCAGGCATGTAGAGCCACCAGCTGGCCAATAAAATGGATGCACCGATGATGATCTCTATTATTAATATTTTCCCCTCCATGGTTAATAGGCAGTTGTAGTGCATTTATTTCAGCCTCTGGATTAAAGTATTGGGTCGCAACTTAGGGAAGTATTTTACCAAAATGATCTTCGTCTCATCCAGCTCTGCCTGCACTTTGGTCATTGCATCTGCTTCCCTGGGGTTCTGGGAGATAAAACAAAAAACAACAAGCTGTCAGGTACACTGCTATTGCATGCTAATCCTTTGGCAGCACTATGTAAAACAAGTTATTTGACTGGCCACTAACTGAATTTCATCTTCATGCATCCATTTAGGCATTTACTTCAGAGCGTGTCTCAATACTATTTAGTTAACACGGTCAAATGACATAAGACATTTAGAACATCTGGCAACTATGAAGGCAACCAAGCAAATCTGATATTGTTCTAAGGAAACAATCATAGTCTAGTCATACTCATTGGCTTTCAAGGGTTTCATTTGAGATATTTTCTGATAAACAGATTCAAAACTGACCTGGTATTTAGCAAGGTGAATGTCCAGGCTTTTGTAGTTTATGGTTTCAGGATTACCAGAGGGCCAGTCTATACTATCCACTTGCCTGGAGAACTCCTCTAATACCTAAAAAAAACCAGAGCAATCTCAATATTGAAGGTGACATCAAAGTGCAATAATTATGTGTCTTTATTAACATGCTTTTGTACTCACCTTCTCTAGCAATGTGAAACAGACTCTCTGTGGGTATTCAGTGTCTGCGATTACCACAGCACCCAGGTTGTCGTTTCTTACATACACATGGCACAGGTACTCTGAAAGAAGAGAGAAACCATGTGGTACCATCAAAACAGAAGTGTAATAGCATACAGGTGAACCCAGAGCCAGTTGGCACACTTTGTTTAAGCCTCTGGAAATGTGGCTTGATGGTGTATGTATGTATGTATGTATGTATGTATGGTGCCAAAATGGATCTTTATTGATCTAATAAAGTCACGAGAAAGAAAGTCACCAAGTTGGCTCAGACTCATAGAGGCAGACTGAGCAGGAGCAGCACATTGGGGTTTCCAGTGGCTTTAAGCAAAGCAGAAGTAAAACTAAAACTGATTTCAAATAAACACTGGCACAATGTTCAAGAGCTTGACATGTATGTATATTATATATATATATATATATATGCTACTAGGACACCCCTAATATTGTAAATATTACACACAACAATGCAAAGTTGATACTGTTACTGAGCTAAGTACAGTTAAGAGAGACACTGAAATAGTAAATAAACAATACATTTGACCAAATTCCAAAATAGACACAAGTTCACTGTATTGCTTAATGTTTGACAGTGGAGTCACATTAGTTAAATATAACACGACCTTCAAACTGAGCTGAACCGGCTCATTCTTACCTTGTTCTTTAACAGAGGCACGGCTTCCTTGTGATGTCCGCTCAACAATCAAGGCACTGGTGAAGGTCATAAACTCTTGAACACTAAATAAACCAAAACAAGAATGTCACTGTGGAGTGAAGTATCCCAGTATTGAGTATTGATTTTTAGTCAGGCAACATTGTTTCTACTAAACACTGCATTGGGGATTGAAATCAACTATCAAATTTGCTGCCAAAACCAAACAAACAGAGCAAGAGCACAGTAACTGCATACTCTCTGCAATCTACACACAGAAAGTTAGGACAAATAGGTCATCCACACATTAAAAACATGTTTAATCGGTGAGATGCTGGGTATATTCAGTCAGACCCACCTGGAGCGCTGAAAGAAGCTGAAGGAGGAGAGGTCATAGGCCGCTTTGAGGAGGTTGGCTTTGGTCGCTCCTTTATGGATGATGCTGAGGCTGTAGAGCTTCATGCTGCCGCCGGATCAGTTCTGGTCAGTCAGTCACAG